ATTGTCCCAAAGAGGCAACCTCCCCTTCTGCCATTTCTCAAAACAAAAAAGATGATGTGTCTATGAAAGAATATCTGTGACACAATAGCCTCAAAACTACTAACTACTTAGGAGTAAATTCAACCAAGGAGGAATAAGGTCTCTACACTGAAAACTACTGAACACAAGTCACTGATGAAAGAAATCAAAGACACAAATAAATGGAAAAATATCCCGTGTTCATGGATTGGCAGAATTAATACTGTTAACGTGTCCATACTACCCAAAGCCTTGTTGATTCAGTGCAATCCCTATTAAGAGTCAATGGCATTTTTTACAGAGGTAGAAAAACAATCCTAAAATTTATATGGAACCACAAAAAACCCTGAATAGCCACAACAATCTTGAGAAAGAAGAACAAAGTGGTAGACATCTCACTTCCCGATTTCAGGCTATACTATAAAGCTGCGGTCATTAAAGCAATATATTATTGACACAACAACAGACTCACAGACCAATGGGATGGAATCAAGCGCCCAGAGATAAACTCACACGTTTCCAGTGAACTAATGTTTGGCAGCAGAGCTGAGACTGTGCAGTGGAGAAAACGCGGTCTCTTCTGTAATCGGTGCTGGGAAAACTGGATATTCCCATGTAAAGGAATGAAACTAGACCCCTTCTTATGCCACTCACAAAAATTAACTTGAAATAGATTAAAGACTTAAGTGTTCAACTGAATAACCATAAAATTCTAGAAGAAAAAAATAAAAGGGCTCCCGACATGGGCCTTGGTAATGATTTTTTTTGGATTTGACACCAAAAGCACAGGCAACAAAATAAAAAATACACAAGTGGGACTGCAACAAACTAAAAAGCTTCTGTAGAGCAAAGGCAACAACAAAAAAGGGAGAAAGTATCATAAACCATATATTTGATAAGGGGTTAACATCTAAATTATATAAAGAACTCACATAACTCAATAGCAAAAAAATCCCAACCAAATATAGTTGACCTTGAACAACACAGGCTTGAATTGCACTGGTCCACTCACGTTCAGAGGGCTGACTGTATGCATTGTTCCACACCATTTTTATAAAAGAAAATTTACCACCTGCAAATTGGGGTATTTGAGGGGGGTCCTGGAACCAATTCCCTGCAGACACTGAGGGCCAACTTAGGTGAGTTTTGGAGGAGTCAAAATTTATATGTGGATTTTTGATTGCACAGCAGGAGGCGGTTAACAGCCCTAAGCTGAGTTGTTCAGGGGTCAACTGCCATCCCATTAAAAATGGGCACAGAAGCTGAATAGACATTTTTATAAAGAAGATACACAAACGGCCAACAGGTACACGGAAAAGTACTCAACATCACTCATCATCAGAGGACTCGAAATCAAACCACAGCACTATCACCGCACACCTGTCAGAATGGCTGTCACCGAAAAGTTAAGTGATGGCGAGGATGTGGAAAAGAGGGAGCTCGTGGACTGTTGGGGGGACTGCAAACTGGTGCGGCCACTGTGGCAAACAGTATGAGTCGCCTCAAAAAGTCAAAACTGTAACTACCACATTATCCAGGAGGTCCCCTTCTGAGATTATACCCCAAGGAAATGAAAACAGTATGTGAAAGAGGTATTTGTACCCCATGTTCATAGCAGCATTAAGCAGTAAATATTTCCAGTAACCATGTTAACAGCCAAAATGCTCACCGACAGGTGAATGGACGGATAAATGTTTGTATATGTGTATACGCACACACCGGAATATTATTCGGCCGTCAGAGGAGGAAACTCTGTCACTTGAGACAACTTGGATGCATGGATGGACCCGAAGGGCATTATGCTAAATGAAATAAGCCAGACAGTGAAACCTTAAAATGTCACTCATTGAAAAGGGGACCAGATTTGTGGCTACCAGAGTCAGGGGTGGGCGTGGATGGGGAAAGGGGGAGTGGAAGGAAGGTGGTCGGAAGGCACCAAGTTCCAGTCACCACATTAGTAAGTACCAGAGGTGCCTTGTGTAACGTGCTGCCCACAGTTAATGTTGCCGGGTGGTACCTGGGGAAGTTGTCAACAGTAAATCCTAAGTTCCCATCCACAAGGAAAAAAGCATTTCCGTGTCTCTGTGAGATGATGAATGTTAACGTGCTGTCGTAATCAGTTCACGATAGAAGTCAAATTGTTATGTTGTACATCTTAAAGGTATAATGCTGTGTGCCAATTGTAGCTCAATCAACCTGGAAAAACATAGAATATCTGCAAGGTAGTTAGAGATAATCAGAGGCCAGCGTGGTGCTTGATGATTCTTGCTGACTCACTTTACTCAAAACCCACAGAGAGCCGATCTGGGTGCCTATTATGCCATCTATAGAAACCAAGTTATATGCAGGGGCCATGCAAATTGGATGTGCTGCTTGGGCTGCTGTGCTGTTTCTACGTTTTTGTGCACACCTGGACTCCCCGGCGAGACTGTAAACCCACCAGGGCAGAGACTCTGCCCTCTTTTTGTACTGGACTCTCCAAGACCAGCAACACATCTGGGTACCAGTAGGGGCTCAGCAGTGGTAGAGATGATAATGAAGGTGGGACTTAGGCACCCTGGTCTGAAAGCCAGGGAACATTCTAGCAATCTCCGTGGGAGTTTACACTGTGCTCCAGGAGCGAGGCCGGAGGCCAGTGGAGTTACCTGGTCTGGAAATAGAGCTCGTCGGTGTTTTTGGAGGCGTCTGCTGAAGCCGTTCTCTGGTCTTCTCCGGAACGAATGCTCTGTCCTTGACTCCAACACAGCAGCAGCCTCCCTGCCACCTGTCAGGGGACCGCTGCCAGGGTGTAATGGCACCGGGTGTTGCGAGAGAAGTCCGAGTTAAATAAGGCCTTGGTGGAGTCTGGAGGCCCAGCAGAGCCTTTGCTTACCTGTTAATGGAGCCTCATTAGAAACAGCAAGAACCTGTGCTGAGAACCGGAAGCACCAGCCAGTCTCTGCTCAGGCTGCCAACGGATGGTTAATGTGATGATTTACGGCAGCTGCTCTTTGATTACAGAGCCAAGGAGACCAGAGAGTGCAGCCTGGCCCAGCGTGAAGGCTGGTGGAGACTTAGGGGTGGAGTGCAAGTCCATTCTCCCCTTATTCTAATGGCTGAAAGAGCTTCGGGTTCTGGAGAAGGCACGGCCGTTCAGACACAGAAGTACCTCCTTTGGATGGCTGGCCTTTCGGGGCCTTCCCACTGTATTTAGGTTAGGGATTTGGGTGTTAGCTGGGGGGCAAAAAATTAATCATAACAAGTGTACAGTGCTTAGTGTACAGTGCATGCAATACAGCTGGGCCAGCCACACACCGCGTCTTCCGGGGGAGGCCCTTGTACCCACTGGTTAGTCATGGGCACCCCTGCACGGGCGCTTTGCTTCTCTTTCAAGCTTTCTTAAGAGCCAATAAGGCTTCTTTTGTTTCTGTTGGCCTTGGCTATTGGGACCCGCAGATACTGGGGGGAGGGTGTCTTCAGATGTGCCCGTAGTGGACGCATCCCCCTGTTTGGATCAGACTTTATGAGGACAAAGACTCAGCTTGGATATTTTGTCTGTAATTCTGCGTGACAGGTGGACTGACAGAAACTTGAGGGAAGAATTAAGAAATGAAGGTTGGACGTGTGTGTGTGTGTGTGTGTACGCGCACACACACGTGCGGTTTTGGAGGCCCCGAGAGCCTGTGTAGGACACAGGTGGTGGTTTCAATTTTAATCAGAAGGCAGCGCAGCCTTGCCCGGGTGGGTGGCAGATGCAGGAACTATATTTGGCCGGCCTGGGCCCTGACCCTGGAAGAAAATTCTGCGGCTCCAAGCGAGGTGAGCAACCACAGCCTAATGAATCCCCCACAGACTTAAACTGAAGTTCCCTTTAAACTGATGGTGAGGTGGTCTGCACACACACACCCATGCCGAGCACATTAAAGAGGTCTCAACGCTTTGCGCTGCCTGCGATTATGACACACGCAGTAAAGCACCAGGCCAATCCCCTCTCTGACAAGAGCGCTGTTTCCGCCCCCATCTGTGGCAAGCTTGCCTGCCCCGAGCTCCACGCTTGCCCAGGCAGTGAGTGCATTTGTGTCGATAAACCCAAGAGCAGGTGATCCTTGGGTGGTGAGGGAGATGGCATCATGCTCAAGGAACCTTCCAGAGCCTTCGAGAATGGCTCCCTGAGCAAAGGCCAGGCAGGCCAAGTGGTATGGAGACAGACTAGTAAGTCAGGACAAGCAGAATAGGGAAACTGAGGCAGATCATTAAACGGCCAAGCAGTTTGCAGACATCTAGTAAATCTTGTCTTCTCTAAATCAAGGACACTTGATTTGCACTTCTCCTTCCCAACCAGAGGAAAAATAGCTTAACTCAGCCCACTCAGGGAGATAGATAGCAGAAATCCAATTAGCGACATTTGACAACCACAGCCAAGGACAGATGAAGTTAAAAGCATAAATCTCATTTTTGGCACATCAGCATTAAGCCAATGAGTATTCTATTGAGATACTCTCCTAAGACCTTCCTTAAACCCCCAGCCTTTAAAACCCTCAAGATGAAGGACCTAGCATGAGCTCTCTCTCCCCACTCCCCACAGGCAGGCATCTCCTAAACTCTAAGGGGCCCCTTGAGACTTGCAACCGTGAGAGCAGTGGGTAGAGGCAGCTAGTACTGGACTAACCCCCTGAACCTGTTTCCAAGGCCCCATCTTCTCTGACTTCCCAATGAGCTAAAGCAGCCCTGCCACAGCTCATTTCTTTCCTATGACCCTTCTAGAGAGCCAAAGCAGCCCACCCTAGGCTTTCCTGGTGCTTCTGCTATGCTGAGCCCTTCCTTGTTCCACTGTCCCCCAGCTTTAATAAACACACTCTCAAAATCACCTAGACTCATGCTGTGAAATCTTTCCCGCACAAAGTCAAGAACCCACATACTTCCAGCAGGCCCGGGGCAGACCCTTTAAGGGCCAGGTCCCCTTTCTGGTAACACTATCCATCTGATAGAACAAAGGAGGCAGATTGGAAGCTGCACACAAAACATTTATTTGGAGAGAGACAGGGAGGTTGCTATGCTACAGACTACTTAAATTTAAGGCAGAAGAACCCTCTCTCTCCACTACCAGGAAGCTTTTCAGCTCAAGGCCAATCAACCCGGAAATCTAGCAGGTAATCCAGCTTGCGGTAGGTGGGGGATGGGTGGGGGGGTAGGAAGAAAATCTTTAAGAAACTCTATGGTGAAGAAGGCAGCGTTTCGTTCATGAAAAGAGGAAGTTGCTTCATTGGCTGAAACAAATAAAGAAAAACACATTTGAGTGAGAGGAGCCACAAGTGATGGAAATTAGTAAAGGCATCACAGTAAGAGTGTAGGAAAGGTAGGTGTCTCGTGGAAGGAAATTGGCCTTTGGAACCAAACAACTTGGGTTTCACATCCCTGCTCTGGGGTTATTAGCTGTGTGACTTGAGCAAGTGACTTAAGCTCTTTGAGGCCTTGTTTCTTTTCTGTAAAATGGGGACGATGATGTTGCCCCAGCAGGGTTTCAGAGAAAATAAAGATAACAAAGAATTTAAAACTGGGCACTCGCTAAGTGGCATTCTTATATTCTTGAAGAAAATTCAGCCTTACTTGGTGCTTTTTGTACATGTTTAAAACAAATATGTGCATTTATTCAGATGTTCATAGGCATATGAAAAAATTAGCTTGGTTAGAAACATCTAGCTCTTGTAATCACCGGCAATCAATCCAGTAGAAAGAGAGTTAAAAAAGTGCTTGATGACACACTTTGAAAGGGGAGGGGGAAGGGTCAGGTTGCTTCCAAGCAGCTCTCTGGCGTCTGAGGAAAGGGATGGGATACAGAGCGCATCCCGAGAGCCGGGAGCCCGGGAGCAGTCCCAGCTCTGCCTCCACCTGCCCGCCTGATCACAGAAAGTTCCTTCTCTTCTCTGGGCCTCTTTACATTATTTTTTGCTGGAATCATGGGGCTTAGACTATATAATCACCAAGTTATCTCTTAGAAATGATATTTCTTTTTCAATGAATGCCACAGAAAGGACCTTGGAGGGAGATATGAAGACCTAGAATTATGACAGAATAAAGGCTTAGATTTCCTTAAATAGCTCGCAAGAAACTAGTCCCAAGACTCAAGCATATGCTCCTGGAATCCTTACCCATTGAAAAAAAGACTGCATGTATACATCTATGTACATATGTACATATATACACACGTATACCTACACAGACATTATGTCATCTCTTCTCCTTGCCTCTCTCCAGTATGGAGGCTGGAAAAGCTAAAAAGTGTCTTTCCCAGCACCCCTTGTAGGTCGGTATGGACAATGAGATCAGGGACAGTCCATTGGAGGACATCTCAAACATTTTTCCTTCACTGACTGACAAAGAAGTTACTCAAGGAGAAGCCCTTTTGCTGTCCTCTCTTCCTTCCCCTGTCTTGTTTTGAAAGAGGACATAATGCCTGCAGCTGTGGCAGGCATTTGGCAACCATGGGTGACAAAGATGAAGACAAAAAGTCAATGTGTCAGGCAGGGATGGCATATGAGAATGGTGAAAAGAACTTGGGACCTTAATGAAATCATGGAGAAACCTAACCATCTCGTTTCTGGAACTCTTAAGTAGATATGGCTTATACCCTGCTGTTCCCAGTGTGGTCTGCAGGCCAGCAGTTCTGGCATCACCCAAAAGTTTTGTTAGAAATGAAGAATCTTAGGCCCCAGCCCAGACCTACTGAAGTAGAATCTGTATTTTATTTATTTATTTATTTTAATTTAAATTATTTTATTGTTGTTCAATTACAGACAAGAATTGCCTGTATTTTCTCCCCATCTTTCCCCCCACTTCCTCCAAACCCACCTCCCTCCCTTGCTTCCACCCTCCCCTTTGGTTTTGTCCATGTGTCCTTTAAGAATGTGCATTTTAAAGAGATGCCCAGGTTTTGGGTAATATGGGTGCACATCAAATTTCAGGTGCATTGGTTTATAGTCCCACTAATTAGGCTCCATTACATGCAGCTGAAAGCATTCCTAATCGTGACCATGCATGTACAGCAAGTCGTCACATAACATTGTCCATAAGTTCTGAGAGCTATGATGAAACAATGTTTAATGAAACCAATTTTACTATAGAATAATTGATATAAATAAGTTCCATGACATGTCATCAACATTATAACAAAATGCTGTTGAACTAAATGACCTTATTCGACAACCTGCTGTACTCAGTGTGTATGAACACTTATAGGTATGTCTATGTGTACATATCTGTTCATGTGATTATAAGCAGGTACACACACATATGTGTACACCTGTATATATATTTGTCTATATATTTGTGCACATATGTATGTAGGAGTAGAAAAATCCTGAAAGGACAGAGCTAAGCTATGGGACTACGTGTGCATGTGTGTTGGGGAGTTTGGGGTGATTTCTTCTATCTTAATTACTTCTAGGTTTTTGAAAACAGTATTTTTTAAAACAATGCGTTGTGCTCCTTTTATAATTAAACAAGAAAAGAGACTTACTTGCTCTCCTCCCTGTCCAGTAGAGCATGGTAGGACGCCAGGTCCCTCTGCAGCTGGCACCTGTGAGCCAGCAGATGCTCACGGGCCTGCTGCTGCTGCTCTGCTTCTGCGCGCACCTCCCGGAGCTCCGCCTCCAGCCTGCTGACAACAGCACCCAGGTTCTGCAGCTCCAGGTCATGCCAGTGCTTTGCATCGTGTAAGGTGTTCTCCAGGCCTCGTTTCTGCAAGAGGGAACATGTGCAAACTCAAGGCAGACAGGCAGGGTGGAGAGGGAGGTGTGTAGAGTAGTGGGAGGGGCTGGCATTGGTCTGGTCTTCCATTTCTTCAAGGACAATGACCTTGCTAAGCTTATATGGCTTGGTGTGGGAATAATGAATCTTCCTCAGGAGGCCAGACTCTTGTTTAGTCTAATTTACTGATTGTTCTGATGGGGAAGAGGGTGGATGTGTATGTGTGTGTGGGGGGGGGATGTCTGGGGGGTGGGGTGAGGGCAGGAAAGGAAGGAAGAGAAAGGGGACAGGGGGTAGGAGAGAGATGAAATATAAGAAAGATGAGTGAGAAAATGAGAGAGAGAGAGAGAGAAAAAAATTCACACACATATACACACACAGAGAAGCAGTTTGCAGGTGTCTCTTCAAAGAAATCTTGTTCTCTCAGTGGCCTCTGGGCCTTTTTGCTCAGGTTTTCTCACCCCCTGGGGGGCCGATTTCCCTTCCACTGCTGAAACCCCATCCATCATTCAGCTAAAATGCTGTCTCCTGTGACATTCTTTCCTGGATTAGGAGTTAGAATGAATGTCTCTGGCCTTTCTATACTCAGCACTTTTTTCCTCAGTGTTTTAGGCGTGCATTTTGGCTAATTCCTCTGCTTCTGGGGCTGCTCCTTCACTGTGGGCTCCCCGCTGCCCCATCCTGAGCCCGTTTCTCTCTGAATTGTGTCCCTGGACCTGTGTTTGTCGGTCTCTCCCATCTGCCAATGACTCCTGTACTGGCAGTTCGAGCACAGACCTCTCCCCCAAGCCCCGACCCACCGCTGGACTTACCGCTGGAACCATGTACAGTCCAAAATGGACCCGCTCTCTTCCCCTTGGACCTGTTGGTCTTTCCTGTTCTGTGTTTCAGCAGGTGAGCTCACAAGAACTAGAAACTGGGGAAAGACATGCCCCTGACCTTCTTTGCTTCCCTCCCAAATTCCATCATTACGGAATCCTGCCTCTTGAATATTCCGAAAAGTTTTCACATTTCTGCCCTCTCATCTCCAGTCACCAATACCCAGGACTGATGCTCATCACCTCTCATCTGGGGTAACCTCATGCCTCTTAGCCTGTCTTCCTGCCTCTAGTTCCTCCTTGTGCTGTGTTCCCCACACAGAAGCGATGGTGCTCTGTCGAAAGCCCCAACCTGGGCCTGTATCTCCTCTGCTTTAACCACACTGCAGGCTCCCTAACATGGCCCACAGGACCAGACTGGCATCTTTCCATCTTTACCCCCACCCCAAAGCAGGGAACACAGCTATTCTTCAAGTAAACTGGGTTCATGCTGTTTCCCACACTTGCATCTCCATTCCTTCCAGCATCTCACCTGGTTGGCTCCTACTCATCCCCAAGTCTAAGCTCAGGGGCCACCCCCCCACCCCAGAAAGCCTTTCTTGACACTCTCTTGCCCCTGCCACCACCAGGCTGGGTTAGGCTCTCCTCCTCTTGGTTTCATGGCTGCCTGAGTGCACACATGCCCTTGAACTTATCAGAGTGGGTTGAGCTTCTGAGGGGCATGTGTCCTCTAGCAGATGGTGAGCTCTCTGAGAGCAGGGACCAAGTGTCTGTAACCCCAGTGACAACACAGGGCCTGACACAGTGTAGGGGTCGATGCCCGTGTGCGTAGGTTGCTCAGGATGACGGCACTTGTGTTAAGCACACTTATCGCCCTATCCGTCCGTCTCCCCGCTAGCTGGAAACGTTCTTCTCGTCTCCCCAGGTACCACGCCCTGCACGCTGTAGGACTGACCACAGATACCTTTAAAAATCTGTGTGTATCTGTCCAACATTTTTAATAGTTGTAACTATGGTGAACCTATAATTTAGTATCTGATCTGGCTTTTACTGTAACACATAAGAAACACCTAAATATCTTTCTAAATTTGATAAAGTCAAATTTTGCTGAAACAAATTCCTGTACCCTGATCCCAAGGAGGAGAGTTTTCATACCCTTTTGACCACTGTGGCTGAAATGAAAGACTCTTGTTTATTAATGCTGTCTTGGATCCCAGCTGTTGTTAAGTGGGGTCCCCATATTATCTTATTTAAATCTTAATTCCATAGGATACGAGGATGTTGAGTCAGAGTCCCATCCTGCATGTACAGGTAGCAAACTGTGATCGGTAGTTGAATAGATGTGTATCAGTAACGGGTCTAAGGTTATTATTTTGCTGGTGGGATCTGAGAAGCCCCTATGACAGTGAAGTTGCAGAAATGGCTACCCTGGCTTTGAGAATTATTGTTCCATCTCCCCCCAGCCCCCAGGTTTTCTCCCTCGGTTTATCAGGGAATTGCTTGGTTTATGAGCAGAGGTTATTGACATTGGACCCGTAACACCTGTGAGCTGGAAAACCATTTGCAGGGCCATGGTTGAGTCCTCTGTTTATAGTATTGGATCCATGCTCAGGGCTGACTACTTCACGTGGCCTCGGCTTTTCCCTGATACTCAGGACCCACTGCCCAGGGGGATTCCTGGGAACCTCCGTCTCACCCTCAGAGGCCAAGCACAGTTTGTCACCTGAGCCCCCAACATCCTGGCCTAGTTCACACTGAGAGGCTTGAGCCTCAGTCCCTGGGACCAGGCCCCCGCTGCAGGGGTCCTAGCCCTGGCCTGCTAGGTGGCACATGTAACACCAGCAAGCAAACTGAGCCCCCAAGAGCACACTTATTCCCCAGTTTATGGGGATTTGAAGGGATGTCCTTGAGTTATCAACCCTCCAGAAAGTAACATAGTGACCTACTAATTTCTGGTCTAGAATTCCTGATTTGAGTTGACTGAACACAGAGCTTAGTACGCCTCAAGCACTATTATTGGTGCCTGGTTGGAAAAGAAGGCCGAATGTCTCATCAGCTTGGCTTTCCTGAGGCTCATGTAAGCTGCAGGGGCCTTGTATGTGCACAGGTTGCTCTGAGTGAGGAAAACAGGGCGGCTGGATGAACTCTGCCATGTTTGAAAGCTGTGGTCGGGGGAGTGTACTACCTGTTCTGGCTCTGTCCGTGCTCCTAACCTTGGCTACAAGGCACAGTGACCAGAACTCTGATCTACTGGAGCCAGAAGGTGACAGAAGCAGCCCCTTCTGGGTCCTGGGCATGGCTAGCAGGTCACCACACCTAAGTCTCTGGTTGTGGGTGTGAGTTCTTTTTCCATTAGTTCCAACAGTTAGGACCATGGGTTTAAGTTAGGTGACCAGATGATGCAAAGTTGGGGTTACTTTACTAGTGGTTCTATTAATGCTGTAGTGATAATTAATAATGCCGTTTATTGACAGCTCACTCCGTGCCAGGTACTGCGCTAAGGCCTTCACTGTCTCATTAATCATTCCAATGGCTTTATAAGGTAAATCCTGTTGAGGTCCAGGGGTAGATCACAGTTCCAAAGGCAGCTGCCACAGTGACCTCCGCCCCACCTGCTCTTTCTCTGTGAGCCATTGCGGTGGCCCCATCAAGAAGCAGAGTTTCTTTCTCTTCCTGTTGATTCTGGGCTGCTCTTGTGACCACTCGGACAGCAGCATCCTGCCCCAGTGATGTTCAGGGACCTTCCAGCCCAGGTGTTAAGAGAACTGCTAGTTTTTGAGCTCACACTCTGATGGAAGCCGGACACCACGTCAGAAGTCCGACTCTGCAAGACTCCCATGACAGGAGGAAGTCACAGTCAGCTCCACAGGGAAGCCATGAGGAGAGGGGGAAAGAGATGCACAGCTGAGGCACCAGATGTGGGAGTTGAAACAGCCATTCTTGGATATTCCAGCCCCAGCAGATGCTACAGGGAGCAGGGGAAAAAATACCTCTCTGAATTCTGCCTAAATTGTCCTAAGCCACAGACACAGCGGATAAATATAAACAGATCCTCACTGTATAAAAGCGGGAAAATGGAGTTTTAGCGGTCACACAGCTCGTGATAGGGGAGCCAGGGTTGACCCCAGCCTGAGTGCTAGCCCCCTGTTCGTGCCATGGGGTGGGCACAGTCTCGGACAGGAATGGAGTCTGCAGGGCTCGGCTCCTCTATTTCTTTGTGTTGGTAGGAAAGCCCCGGAGCCACAGATTTCTCATCTGCAAAACGGGATGGTAGTCACAGCCCAGCCCACTTCTCCGTGTTTCTGCGAGGATCCGATGAGCGAATGCATTTGAGCATGTTCTTATTACTACTGGTGTCACTTTGAAGAAATTTTGTTTTGGGCACTGTACCGGCATGATTTGGGGACATAGAAGTAATTATACCTTGTCCCTGCCCTCAAGCAGTTAATGCCACTTTGGTGGATGAGCTCATCCCACCACAGGCCCCGCTCTGAGTGTGAGTGGGCAGCAGGTGGGAGAGACCGCCCAGCTGCGGGAGTCAGGAGCTATGTGTTTCAGCTCACCTGTCCCCAGGGTGTACGGTAGGGGCGGGCAGACTTGTGGGGAGGAGTCTCCTTCCAGCCACGGGGAGGACACATCCAAGGACTCAAGGGTAGGAAAGCAACGGACGAGTTCTGAACAGTAAAATGAAGCCTGAGCTGGGTGGCGGCGGGAGGTCTGGCAGAGGAAGGCTCCTGTTGTGGGCGGAGCCCAGGCAATTCCCTGTGTTAGGGACACTGAAAGTGCAGACAATCGGAGACAGTAGGTGGAGGAATGTCCGGACCGGGCAACACAAGACCGCTGAAGTCTGTCAAAGGAAAGAGGCGGCGGATAAAGCCTCAGAGGTCTGTTGAGGTGGGAAATGGAAACCAGAGACCTTGTCTTGGGGGATCTTAGTTTTATCAGCAGAATAATACAGGTGACAGCATCTGCCGAGGGACAGCGGTAGGCGTGTGCGGGGGGACATTTCCATGCTCAGAATGGAAACGGTTGGGAGCAGCCACTCCGAGGAACACAGCACCCCTCTGCTTCGTTCACTTCTTTGCACAGAGGTTTCCTCCACCAGTCCAGGTCCGAGCTGTTAGAGGGCAGGAACCTTCCGATTCATACTTGCCTCCCACGGTCTAAGGAAGGATTTGAGCACAGTAGGCACCAGTATTTGCATGTGGAATGTGTGCTGAGTGATGGGCCACCTGCCACTTAGAAGTAATTCATCTGGGCCTTTTTCATGGTGTGGCCTTGAGAATATGTTCTCAAATCTTTTGCCTGGAATTTTCTGTCACCAGAAGAGTGACAATTTTGGTAGCTGCAAGGACATCTGGGAAAGACATGGCAGCCCCTTATCTGTGCCTAAAGCACAGGGGGGAAAGCCAGTACCCCTAACACTAGGGTGTTTATCAGTGGTTATGGCAGGTGAATGAAATAATTAGCATAAATTCACATAAGTAACGCCATTTCTTTTAGATTTTTTAAGAAGTAAAAGTGTGAAACAGCATTGCTTTAAATAGTAGTTTCCCGATTTTTCTCACCTCAGATCCTTTCCTCTCACCCCCTTGCTCTGACCCAGATCCCATCAGAGAACCAATGGGGCAGAAGGGGAGCGTGTGGTGCGGGTCACCTGTGTCAAGAAGACTGCGCCTCCTCCCTGAGCTGTCTGGGCCCTGTGTGGCCTTGTTGGCGGAAGGACAGTGGACCCCAGGTGAACTGAAGGCCCGTGAAGAAAGGAACCGGGGGCAGTGGGATGATCTTGATGACAGGCAGAGAGAAAGTTGTTTCAGAGGGGAGCCAACAAGACCTAACTCCATGGCAGGCTGCGGCTATAGAGGGAGGCGGGGCTGGTGGTTTGATGATGGGGCTGGTTTGGGTGCAGAATTGAGATGCAGGTTTATGGGGTGTGGTAGAAGAAAAGGGCTTTAACAATGGTATCTGATCAGCCTGGGGACTTGAGGCTGGTGGGAGAGAAGGGCTTCTGTGCCTCAGTGGTCTTCAGACCATCTCTGCAGTACACATGGCGCCCTCCAGGGGGAGTCCAGGAGGCGCTGTGCTTGAACTTTAGCCCATCCCAGAGAGCAGCTGTACTACTAACAATCATTTAAATTAATAATAATAATTAATGATTCGAGAGAGCCACTCACAACCACAGTGAGTCGAGGGCTTTCTAGATGTCTTAGGTTGAGTGCCCCGGAAGCAGAGCCTGAGTCAGCGATCCTGGTATGGACATAATTAAGGGGTTGCCCTCAGGAAAAGGGGGACCAAGGAGAGCAGGACGGGGCAGGGAAGGCGATGAGCCAGGAGTTGGTCATGGAGGAGTCTGGCTACAGCCTGACCCCACGGAGCCTCCAGAGGGTGAATTATACCAAGGGCAGGCCCCACTCTGACGCAAGGGAGCCGGGTCTTCAATTCCCCTGTGAGTCAGCCATTGGCTGGGAAGGTGGGCTGGCCTGACCTCCCGAGGGCAGGTGGCTTCTGTTTGGCTGAGGGCAATTATTTGAGGAAGAGGGGCAGCAGAGAAGGGGCATATGCTGGCACGAGCGGCCAGCATTCACGGCGGCAGCCCCATGAAGCATGTCTGGGCTGGGCACTCACTGTGTCTACCACGCTTGTGACTCGGTACCCGATAACCTCTCAGGCCTCAAAGTCCGGCTGTGAGATGGAAGCCCCTTGCACATTGTGACCCGCAGGACCGCAGTTCGATGGTTGAGAGTTAGAATTGTCTCAAGAAATGCCAGGTCTCCTCCTGACCCACTCACCAGGACGCGCAACGATTCCGTCTCAGCCTGGAGGCTCTGCACTTGGCACGAAGCATCGTGCACCTCCGCCCTGAGCGCAGCAGCCAGCTTCTCCTCCTGGGTCTGGGCCAGGCGGGCCACCTCTGCCTGCTGCTGTAAACAGTGAGGGCTTGGTGAGCAGGGTGAGCAGAGAGGCCACCGCCGTCCTCCCCCTGCCCCTTTCTGATGACCATTCCCCTGCTTCTAACTCAGAGGAAACAGCTATTAGATTTAAGAATTCCTTTTTTTCTTTAGGTGCGCACAACAGCTTGTATATAAACTTTCATTTAGTTTGAACATACAAAGCAAGCAAATAGAATGACATTCAAAAGATTTTCTAAAGAATAACATGGCGGAGCCCTGGCCGGGTGGCTCAGCTGGTTGGAGTATCATACACCAAAGGGTTTTGGTTCCATCCTCTGTCGGGGCATATGCTGGGTTGTGGGTTCCATCCCCATTCGAGGCCCTTACAGGAGGCAAATGATCAGTGATTCTCTCACATCGACGTTTCTTTCTCTCTCTCTTTCTAAAATGATTACAAAATATACGGTAGAAAGTATATAGAATCTCTTTTCCCTGTGCTCTAATTACCCGGTTCTCCTGTTTCCAGTTTTTTATACTCCTTCCAGAAATACCTCATATAAATACTTATAAATAAATATGTATGACCATCCCCCTCGCTTTGGTAGTTAATCTATCTTAGAAATTATTTGATCAGCACACACATGTCGATCACATTCTCGTCCATGGGCTGCCCTATTTGGAAGTACCGTAATTATTAGAAGTCCCCCAATGAAAGGCACTTCCACGGCTTCCAGTCTTTGCCTGTTACAATCAATGGCACAAAGAATAACCTACATCCCTCATTCTGAGTCCATGGGAATATCTCGTGGTGGGGGTGGGGGGAAGCTCCTGCTGTGGAATTGCTGAATCAAAAGCGTAGGCATCTGTGACTTTGATGAATGTTGCCAAACCACCCTTTGGAAAATTTGTAACTCCTTCCAGCGCTGTAACACAGTGCCGATTGCCGCATCTTCTTCAAATGGGTAGTTAACAGGCTTGATCTGATGGTCCCCATTTCCTGGAAGAAGCGTGCCTGGCCACAGTTGTGACTATGAAGGGGCGGGTCTGTGTTTGGGACCTTCTCGCCAAGCAAGACGGACGTGCTATGATTCCTCCCCATGCGTTCAGGGGACCAGGTCCTTGTTACTCCTCTCTTCACTGGGGAAAAGGGAGAAATGAGAGATTGCCCTCATGTGTAACTTCAATCCGAGTCTGATGGCATGCGGCCAAGCCAGTGATGTAGGAGAAAAGAACTGCTTTGTCTCCTAGTTTACTGGCTTTTTGGGTTGAGCACTTTTATTACACATGAATGCTTACTTATGGAACTATGCAAAAATAATCCAATGTAACTGACTTTAAGAATCCCCATGTCAAAAGGCTCATACAGCCATAGTAGTTCTTGCAGTTTTTGCTGTTGGAAGGCTGAGAGGGACTCAGCACAAGTGTCCACTAAAGGCCAGGGATCAGCTGAAGGAAAGCAGAAGCCGTGGCACAGCTCCAACTGGTCAGCCCATGGCCATGTGTCCCTGGGCCACCCTCAGCCTCTCTGCGTCCCTGTCCCTGTCCATAGGGTGCAGGTAACAGTGAGTGCTAAATGATAAGCACATGACTATCTCCCCGAATCACTTGAGGCTTCCTTTAGGTTATACATATAGAAGCTTTTAGAACCTTAAAAGCATGCAGACATTGGCTGTATATGCTTTCTATACGTGAAAAGTAGTATTAACCAATAAATGCATTTGTAAAGCCACCATGAGTTGAATACTGCTAATGATAACTAACACGTGTAAAGAAGCACTCACTGTGGGCCAAACACTCTGTTAACAGCTTTTAGTCCGTGATTTCATTTAATTTTTACAACCCTATGAAGCAGGTGTCATCATTACTCCCATTTTACATGAGGAAACTGAGATTGAGTCATTTTTCAAGATCATGGGGCTTCAGGGGGCAGAGCTGGGACCCGTGAGGCAGGAGACCCCAGAGCCACGCTACTAACCAGAGCTGAATGCTGCTGCCCCCACCAGTCTCAGCTGAAGACCCGAAGTGGGAGTTGTCTCCCCAAGGTGAAGGTGGATCACTCTAAAACACCCTCATCGTCTGCCACCTCCTCCCATGATCTGGTCCTGATTTTCCTTCTCTCTTGGGGGTTTGGACCTGGCCAGACGGCTGTGTGGGTGGGAGGGGGCAGGAGAGGGGTGTCCTGACAGGCAAGTAAAGTCAGGTGGCACAGCAGTGCAGAGGGGCCAGCGGCAGTGGCAGTGTGAGCGGGGACTGGCGGCTCCCCACAGCTTGTGAGAGCTGCGTGTTAAGTTTTCAGGAACTTTGAAAGCTGGTTGTTGTTACACACAGCCCTTCTTAAACATTAAATTATACCAACTCACAATTAAATGTTATATTAAAATGGTAATAAATACTTGAAATGAGTCACTTACTAATTATTTACATTTTGTCATTATCTGCTCTCACGGTTCTTTGCACCGATGGCACCTGTGTGGTGGAAAGGACTGGTGTGTCTCCGCCCAACTCTGGTCATCGACATCGAGCTACTAGTTTGAAATCAGTGTCGACACCGTGAATCACTATTTCACTGATTGGCTAAACTTAGACAGGGAGGCAGAAAATGTTAATAATGCAGATCCAACTTAAAAGCGGGTCCTGTCTGTGGCTGTTGCATCGTGAGTGGCCCACAAACTGGAGGACACATTCCTCCATTTGGAAACTGTTGTCTGACCCATAAAGAAGTTACATCGTTGGTGGACGAACTCATTAAGGTCAACACAAATACCGACCAAGGTTCCCACCAAAGTTACGCTCACTCATCACTGAGTGACTGTCCATATAGTCAGATATTAATAATCAGACATTTTTCTGTGGCCTGATCTTGTGACACTATTGTTGGTGACAGAATTGTAAAAAACGGTTGGTGGGCTTTGCAAGAAATAGCAAGTCACACTGCAGTTACAGGGGCAAATGGAACGGCGAAGTAGGTATTTCATCTGAAAGTTTGTTATTTCTAAAATTAGAAATAAAACATCACCAGAAATTCTATGTCACTTTTATGTGGTATTGTGAATTTGACTGACGTGTACATGCATACGCGTATATCCCCCCACACCCGGAGCAGCTGTGAAATGTGGCCGGGGCACTGAGAGTAAGGGCCGGCACGAGCGGACGGGGGGCAGGCTTCAAAGCCTTGGCGGGTGGGTCTGGACTGACGCTGCCGGCCGAGGCTCTAGCCACAGTCCCCATGAGATCTGTCTGTCCCTCCTGTCGACCCAGACAACAAGTGAATTCAGTGGTATGTTCCGGTGTCTGGAGGGATGAATTCCTAGGTCTCAGTTTCATTAGCAAAATGCTGTACCCGAGTGTTTCCCAAACATTCTTGGATGACCAGTATGTTTTTTACATATCTGCATACAAATTCGAACTATTTTTATTTTAACCAATTCCCTTTGTCTTTGTAAATAAATGTGTATAGAATGGAAACTGTGGATTAGTCTCAAATGGTAATGTGCGTCAGCATCATCGGGGGGACCCTGTGAAAGCGCAGGTGCTGACTCAGGAATCTGAGGGGCCCAGGAATCGGCATTGAAAACCATCATCCTGTGACGCCTGGGCCACGGAAGCAAGTTTCTAGATTGTTACAGAGACCGATAGCTTTATTTGCTGCAGAGAAGATAACTGAAAAATTAATAAACTTAAAACAGATCAGTGTTGTTTTATTCTAGCAAACGGTGCCTGCCAAGCAGCTGAGTCCCAAAGCCTGCCTTCTTTTTGTTGAAAGGTGAGGTTACAAGTACAAGAAAAGTGTTAATGACCTACCAGCACCAAATGGAAACTTTCTTATAGTTTAAGAGTGACAGAGAAGAAGAAATGAATTTGACCACAACGAATTACATTGCCATTTCATATCACATCTTGTGCCTTCTCAAACCAGCTTACCACATACCAGCCCTGCATCTGGGAGCACTTAGGTGCTTGAACTCCCCTGAAATGATTACACGCTCTCCTCCGATGCCTTTTTAGATTTATACCTTCTCATTCTTGCAATAACTCTACTTCTGTTTCCATTTCAACCCCGTGCCTCCAGACCTCTCCTCACAGATCAGACAGCGGGTGTGTGATTCCCGAGCCCGAGGGTAGGAAGACGGGACTAGTTCTGTTGGGAGGGTGTGTAATGAGATTCGGTTCTGTTAGTCCTCACTCCTTCAGACCAGCTTGAAATCTTGGCTTCGTCGTGGTGCAGGAGCTGGGCTGCCTGTGGTTGTACCCCACCCACCTTTCTGAGGCAGGAGAGCATGTGGACATTATGAAGTACGGTCAACATTTTCAAGTTAAAAAATTTTTAACTTTGATTGTCATGTGACTGCATATGAAGGACGGACGTGGGAGAAGAAGAGCAGCATGCTCTTAAGTCAGAATGCAGTATTTCAGGGTTTCCAAACGGAGGGGAAAATGCCATCCAGCCCACTTTGCTGACTCGCGTTGCCATCCCCCACAGCATCCTCGGCAACGACCTGGAGTTGGAAGGGATGCCACTCGGTGATTCGAGGGGAGAGCGCGGACAGCCACCGTGCAGGTGTGTCCTGTGTGTTCTGCCTTCCCCGGAGCAGTTGCTGTGCGGGTTCCAGCAAGTCACTCGAGCTCTTTGGTTTGAAGGTGGTGAAAGGCAGCTACGCTCTGCTGCAGAGTACGACCAGCTGCCTCGCTCTAGGCATCTCAGACCTTCCAGGGTCATACTGAGCTCATCACATTCATTACTGATGGAGATGGGGCAAGCAAGATTGGGACCCGGTGTCCCAGTCCTGTCGCAGAGGAACCTTATCCTGCAGGGAGGCCCAGAGCCTTGGTTTGGAAAGAGCCTGACAAAGCCTGGCATGACCTCCTCTTAGGCCCTCGGGGCAGAGGCCTCCCAACTGCACACTCCACAATGCTCATTCTTAAAATAAGAAAGCGAATCATCGTTCCCCACTCCATGTGACCTGCCCAGGTCAGCCCAGTGGGTGGGGGTGTCAGTCAGGGAAGAGCCATATAGTGAATCTGACAGGCTC